CAGCAAAGTAACTGCATGCACCTTTTCCCTTGAATTTTGCAACGCAGTCGTGCTCTGGATTTTGCATTCTACTGTTTGAAAGGCTGAGCAAAGTTGCACAATGCAAATGTAATTTTCAATCAAATTGATGTTTTCTTGGCTATATTGCATTGGTACTGTGTGTTTGCGCTATGATTCGAATACTTGGATGGTGTTGGCTTGTTTGCAATGGGTACTGCCAGCCTCAAGCCAAAAAACTTGCAAACAATGATGCTTATCACACAACAAAAACGAATAAAAAGATCAACTGACATGGTTTCAAGACCAAAAAATCTCAAATTCAAGCTTGGCTGAACGGTTTTTACATGGACAACCTGTATGGGCAGCGCATGACTTCAAAGCATGTTCATGCACGGCGTCCCGGCGTCCCGGCACCCGTGATGATAAAAAACAAGCCAATCTTGCACCACCCTTGGCGCAGCGAGCAGTACGGCGCAGTCGTATCAGTAAATCAAAATCAGACTTGGTAGCACATAATTCGGGTTCCTGGGGGTCCGGTTTGCTTCATGATGTTCTTGCTGCTGTTTTTCAGGTGAAGATCAAGAACCTTTGGATTGGTGGTTCTTCTGCCAGTCAAACTGCGGCTATTTCGTGAACCAATTCGCAAAATCGTTTGCTTTGAACAGTGTGTTTGTTTGGAAAGCGGGCAGTGTGTATCCCAAGATATGATTTTGCCAAAATATTGTTTTGCCACAATATCATTTTGCCAAAGTATGATTTTGCCAAAATATCATTTTGCCAAAGTCTTTTTTTGCCACAATATCATTTTGCCAAAATATCATTTTGCCAAAGTATTGTTTTTGCCAAAATATGGTGATGCCAACCGTTTATCGCACATTTCCTGGGGCAGATGTCTTCATTGATTGATATATTGAAATTATTAGTATCCCTTTGCATCTCAGGATCATCCTTCGTGGGTTCCAACAAGTCACTTCTCAAGGACGATGGGTCCACCGGAACCATCACCCCCTGTAAGTGGGCTAAGCGTCAGCTTGAAAAAGACACCAAAAACTCAAGAAAGAGCTAGAAAAGCTGGAGCCATCACCCCAGGCTAAGATTGATATTTGGAAAATGTTCGGGTAGCTAGTAGTAGCTATCACAGGGGACGACGGTCCCAGTGGGACCATCACCCCTGGAGATTGTGCAAAATGTGGGGTTTGGGGACGACCCAGATTGTTATTTTGCGAACTTTTCGGCCTATCACTTTGCAAACAAATTCTGGCAAACGGATTTTTGGCAAAGCTCAGCTTTGACCATCGAGCATCACAATATTTTGGGAAAAATTTTGGCAAAATGATATTGTGGCAAAATAAGACTTTGGCAAAAATGGCAAAATCACACTTTGGCAAAATGATATTGTGGCAAAACAATATTTTGGCAAAATCATATCTTGGGATACACACTGCCCGCTTTCCAAACAACCACACTGTTCAAAGCAAACGATTTTGCGAATTGGTTCACGAAATAGCCGCAGTTTGACTGGCAGAAAAACCACCAATCCAAAGGCTTTTGATCTTCACAGGAAAAACCACAGCAAAAACATCATGAAGCAAATGGATCCCCCAGGAGCCCGAATTATGTGCTACTAAGTCTGATTTTGATTTACTGATACGACTGCGCCGTACTGCTCGCTGCGCCAAGGGTGGTGCAAGATTGGCTTGTTTTTTATCATCACGGGTGCCGGGACGCCGGGACGCCGTGCATGAACATGCTTTGAAGTCATGCGCTGCCCATACAGGTTTTCCATGTAAAAACCGTTCAGCCAAGCTTGAATTTGAGATGTTTGGTCATGAAAACCATGTCAGTTGATCTTTCTGTCGGTTTATGTTGCGTGATAAGCGTCATTGTTCGCAAGTGTTGTGGTTTGAGGCTGGCAGTACCACTGCCAAACAAGCACAATTATCCCAACTGTCGCACAGACACACAGTACCAACCGGAAAAAAAACATCAGTGGCATCTATTTGATTGATCGTTTTCATTTTAGGTATTTCTCCTGTGTTTAACCTCAAACAGTAGGAGCGCAAAATCAAAAACATGATTGCGTGCAGTTGCCCTGCTGCAGACATAACACCTGAAAGCAATGAGACAACACCTGAATGCTAGGAAAATGACATTATAACGTTTTTTGAGCCACACTTGTTATGGATGGATTGTTTGGGACGGAATCTGTGGCAGTGGCGCAAACGTTTTTGCCCTTAAAAACTGGTTTGTGTATGTTTGTGTTGGAGTGTAGGCACCTAATTACTGATGAATGTGGGTTGTAACCCCATTCAACTCTTTTGCAGTGGTCTTGTCCACTTTTCCTGCATTCAATCTTGACAGATTGACGGTTGCAGCAAGCATCCATTTTCTGAACAACAGATATTGTCCTCAACTGCCCACGTCGACAATAATCCCGACGGTAAGCCGGCTGTCCCTTTGCACTGGCGAAATGTGGGTGGTCGGTTGGCCGAAATGAACATCGGGGGCCTACATGGAACTACACTCCCATCAGCGTTGTTCCCCCAACTCTTCGTGCTGCCGAGCCGGTCACCGACAAAGAATGAATTACATTGATATACCCAATATATCTCATGATTCATGATATCTCATGACATCTTATGATACTGATATCCCGTCCTGTGATATCTCATGGCATTTGGAATTGGGGCTATCTACACCAAGATATGTTCAATATATCCAATTTTATACCAACTATATATTTATAGTATTTTATAGCATATATCTATATAGATAGATAGATAGATAGATAGATAGATAGATAGATAGATAGATAGATAGATAGATAGAGATGACATTTTATCTACACGTTTGGGGCGACATTTGCTGAGTTGCCAATTGACGAGGCCATTACCGGCTCGAAGGATTCCAAGGACAAGGAAACGAGGATCTTGGACGCCTTCAAGGCGTGGGACAAGGATAAGAACGGTGTCATCACCAAGGACGCAATGGGATGGGGATGGAGATGCTTTCGCTGGTGCGGATGATGTATCTGAATGTATCTGAGATATTTGCATTTGTTTGTGATTCTTCAATTTGTATTTGTATATATGACTTTGTGTTTGTATAGGAATGTGTATACTTGAAGTGTCAAGCAGCTTGTGTGGGAAAGAACTGAATGCAATTCCATCCACGCCAGGTGGGGATGTCGCAGCATGTGCCGTCAATGATTCAATTGTGTCAGACCCCCTTTTGTAACAAAATCAGCCACAATGATTGATGAACAACTTGAAAGATCCCATTCCAATAGCGTTTTCAAGACTTTTCAAGTTGGTCTTCAGGGACAACTGCCCTGTACACCGCCGTGTTCGCCAGGACGAACTTTCGGTGGTGTTGACTTCGCTGGGATGTTCCACAAAACCGGAGGATCTGGAGGTGATGTTGAAAGAGGCGGATTTGGACTCGGATGGCAAGATCAACTATGAGGACTGGACATTGAGTCCATTTGAGTCAAGCAGCCTGGAGTAGGGCATGGTAGGAGAGATGAATACCAAAGGTTCTACTGTAAGTTCTACATGGTCATAAACATAAATTTTTCTTGAAACAGTGATGCTCCTTGATGTGTAGCTCTCTCTCTCTCTATATATATATATATGAGTCACAGACCAGGGCTCATATGTCGTGCAGGAGATGGTTCAGTGGCTCTGCCGAGCACCTCATCTTGAGCAGTACTTCCTTCTTTCTTTGGACATCTTCAAGCGGAATTTCAAAGATGTTGACGCGGAGGTGCGTAGTTGCAGGGTCGCTGCTGAAACGGTGTCGACCTATGTGTCTCTGCCCAAACACGCTCTTTTTGGTTGGCAGGTGCTGAGTGTGCAACGAGAGATGCAGAAGATGCAAAAAGAGTTTGATGCCGGTCCACCTGATGACGAAACTGCCGTGACCTGGACGAAGTCGTCATTGGTTTGTCACAGATCGGCTGTGGCTTTGTCTGGCCCTCATTTCGGAGTTTGTCAATCCGTCATGGTTTACCGGTTGCCCCTGGGTATCTTCTAGCCCTCTTATAATCCTCTTAATTCCATATTCCAATATCCCGGGGTCGTGCTGGTGTCGTGGTGGCAGTATGTGGCAGTAACTGCTGAGGCGATGAAGAAATGCTTCGATATCATGCAGCAGTTGCTGAAACAGATGGAAGCTGTGCAGAGATCCACCCAAAAACGGATCGACGATGAGTTGACGCCGGTGATCAAGAGGAGTTTTAAGTATCACGACAAGGACGCAACGTTGTCATTCCCGAGCCGCGAGAAAGCTGATCCAAGCGAACTGTTTTGCTAATGTGGTAAACCATGGTGAGCCCTGCAAAATCTCCAATTTTGCTGCACATGGGTGGTAAAAACATGTAAAAACTCGCCACAGTTGGAGGTTTCACATGGTGCCCCATCAATCCATCATCCATCGATCCCCTCAGGACGGCAGCGGCACCTTGAGCTACGATGAAGCCTGGCTTTACTGAGTTTACCCTCTGGTAATTTAACGTAGCTATTGAACATGGCCATTAATAGTGGATTTTCCCATGAAAAATTGTGATTTTCCATAGTTATGTTAAATTACCAGAGGGTACTTCCGTTGATGTCACGGATGTCACGGATGTCTTGCCTTCCGTTGACAAAGTGCTGGCTGCGGGAAATCTTTCGAACACCGCATAGACTGTTGAACACACACGTGCAGACACACACACACACACGCGCTCACACACACTTAGACAATCTTAGACAGGAACAGAAACACCAGAGATCACCAGAGACAAAGAAAGATAAGTTGGATAAGTTGTGCTCCAAGGAGGGTATCATCTTCTTCTCCAACTTCATCTCCCTCTGGGAGCCTTTTGGTGAGTTGATGTCTGAGCTGAACTGTGCCCAGGCAGGGTGCCGCACTGGCACCTGGAGTTGCAGCCTTCAATAAGTCATAATTGATAAGTTTAAGACACTCCTCCGAATTATCAGAAATTATTATGTTTTATTGTTGGTAGCCAATGGTAGCCATATTCATCCATATTCTCTATCCCATTTTTTTTGGGGAAGTCTAACTTCAATTGCTGCAGCTGTGGTTTTCTGGTAATTGGAGAGCATTCGCAGGGCCCGACATTCGCAGGACACCCAAAAGTTGCAGGGTCAAGACCCACCAAAACCCATACAAAGTTCCTTAAATTGACCCACTGGGCCCATTGTTCGTGAAGCTTCTGAGTTTTTCGTGGCTGCAGGTCGCGATGATGGATCGTATCGATTCAGAGGCGGAGGATGAGAATTTGGACCACACCAAGGATCTGGCGCAAAAGAAGGCACCAAGATCACTGCCATTGATAGGGTGATTCCCTGCATTTCCCCGCACTGAAAAAAAGGGTTCCAAAATGCCGAGGCATCCATTTGGGTAAATTGAAAGGAACCGCGATGATGGTTAGTAGAGGAGGAGCATCCCAAAAACGTCTTATATCAAGTTTGATTTACTACAATGTGCCCAGATCCATGTGAAATTATTCAGCCATTGAACTACTCCAATTAGTCATTCAGCCAAATCACGCACACCAAAAAAAGGAAAGAGAGAGAGAGAGAGAGAGACAGAGAGCAGTTCCCTATTTTTTGGTGATTTCATTGAGTCTCTGTTTGTTTCTTTTGGATCACTCTATGTGCTTACCGTATTTACAATTATTTACGCCGCTGGTACATAGTATGGGGTGGTTCTGCCACCTGTACATAAATTACGGATCCGGAAATCTAGGGTGGCAATGAACGACCCATGAACGACCCCAAATTCCAACAGCAGGTGCAACTCAAAAAACTCATTCGATTGTGGATTCGTCCATTGCCAAAACCATCCAAAACCCATTGATATTTAATAAAATTTAGTGTCATGGTGACTTATGTCATGACCAGCTCCAATCGGAAAAATGTATTTCTTCTTTTGATGTTGGGATTCGTCAATCTTCCTCAACTTATATGTATCAGCTTTGAGTACCCTCCTGTAAACTAACGTAGCTATGAAACATACCTAGCTCATTTGTAGATGATTGCTCTGCATCTACCTATAACGGATAGTGATCGTCCATAGCAAATTTATTACCAGAGGTAAATCACATTTTTGCTGGTTGAAACACAATTTTTGTTAGTTAAATCCAAATTTTGTTGGTTAAAACACCGTTTTCGTGGGTTCGTTGGCTACGGTGTTAAAACCCAATTTTCTTTGAATCAATCCTCATTTTCGGTGGTTCCAAGGGGAACTTCCCTTGAGGGTAACGGATGGTCAGGTGAAGTTGGTGACGCCCGACAAGCTTCACAAAGCCTTCAAGAAGAAATATGCTGTTTTGAAGGGAGACTTGGAACGCAACAATCGGAGTTGGAACGACTATGGGAATACCTCCCAATTTGATGGGGTTCAGTGACTTGGGAGGTTAAAACCAACGATTGCGAGATTTTGGGTTTTTCTTTTGGAAAATAGACCGATGAATCCGATTGTTTTGATTGGGTGAGATGGGTCAGGTTGATGGCTGGTTTTAAGCTTCCCCAACAAAATTCGTTCGATGGCTAGAGTGGCTAGAGGATTTGCACTTGCAGCCCGCATAGATTTCACATCATTTCACAGGATCCCGGGGTATAGACTAATGAGTTTAACTATGTTTTAAGCCGTCCTTCCCTCAATTCTGACCATTTCAGGTGGAGCATGAAAATGCCATCTTCACATTTCCATGTATTTCCCACTTTCAACCGACCAGTGCAGTGATGTTGGTGCCCCCGTAGAGAAGTGGGCCTGTTCAAATTGAACTTTACCAAGTTGCCACAGTTGTATATATATAGGAAATTCCAAGCTTTCTAGCCCCTCATCATTATTTCGTAGCACCTGACAACAAGCTTAAGGAGAACGTGTTTCAAGACTTCGCCCCCCCATCATTTCCCCCCCATCATTTACATGTTTCCCCAGGGGAGCACGCGTCGCAGATGGATGCACACCACAAGGCGGCCTTCGAGCTGCTGGGGCCTGGTGGGAAAGTCACCGAGGCCGCGGTGCTGGAAGCGCTGTTGCACGGCCATGAGAAGATGCTGGGACCGATCGATTGACGCATGGGTGGATAGGTAGATAGGTAGATGGGTAGATGGGCAGATAGGAAAGAAAAGACAAGACACCACAGGATAAGACAAGACAAGATAATATAATATATAAGGGACACACGATAAGATAAGATAGAAAAGATAAATAACATAGATAAGATAGATAAGATAGATATGACAGATAAGATAGAGAAGATAGGTAAAATGGATAGGATATATAGGTAAGATAGAGAAGGCAGTCCAAGACGTAGATAAATGGGTAGGCAGATAGGTAGACAGTCAGATAGATTGACAGAGAGATGTGGATAAGAAAAGACAAGATAAGAAAAGAGACACGGTAAGATAAGAGATAGCAGATAAGATAAGATAAACTAGGAAACGATAGATAAGACATAATAACACCAGATACGACAAGATCATATCGATAAGACGGATCGACGGACAGACAGATAGATAGCTAGATCGATAGTTCTAACATGTTCTAACTCTCACAGGTGGATGATAGACATACATACACATGTATAGATAGAAGCAAGTATGTAAGGGAACACTAGGGTTAAAAGACCTGAACATATGATTGGTTCACTTGATCTTCTGCTGGTCTTGGGACACTTTTTGGATTCATTTTGGAAATTCCGGCTGGCTGGTGGTGCAGTTGCCGTTTGGTGCTAAGCCACAGATCACATCCTTTGGTCATTGTTTGGCGTATTTTGATGGGACTCGGATCCGGGATTCCATCCTAATGCATGTGCCACCAGCATTCGGAGGAACAGTGAGTTCCTAGACGCCATGGGCCTTGGAGTCCAAGATGTGATGAAGGCAGCTGAACCCACATGCATCATGTTGCGGGACAGCTTGGAAAATATCAGAGAGGCGAGATCACGTACCGGTAGATTGGGAGCGGAGGGCGAATTATATGGGCCGAACTTGGTCGAACTTACAAGCTTTGGGCTTGCAGGTTTGAGTCGAAATTGTAGTGCTTAATCATCCATTTTTTGCCAAACAAGCTGCAGCAACACTCATTTTTGATCATTTTTGAGGATCAGTCTCGGAGACATTTGGTTTCCTGATCCCTCCAACTTGTTTGGTGCCCACCTGGGTCATGTAGGTCAGTCCAGCAATGGGTTTGTATATGTATATATATATTTACACGCACAAACACACATATACTGTATGTAGATATATACATATATGTATAACATTTTAAATAATGTCCCAGAATGGCAATTTACTGTAAATGGGGAAAGCGATGGCAAACCACTGGACCTTAGGTGTAGTTTCACAGAAAACCCAAGCTTCGTTTCAGGCTCTCAATGAGGTAAACCAATCTGCCAGCGAGATGGCCTCCATGAAATTGGACGTGCCGGTGATGCCCGTGGGGGAGAGTGATGGCCCAGACGACTGCCAGGTGCAGTGAGATGCTGGCGCTGAGGTCTACACCAAAGGTGTAGCCTTGGCGAAGTGTCCAAAATGCTGAGATCCTCACGTTTTTCACATCGTTTCAAACGTTCATCACTGAAATGACTGGTGTACTCTGTTGCACGCACTATATGTGTATAAGTGCATGCAGACACGCACACACACACACACATATTCATATGTATACATATATATATATATGTATATGTATACATATATATATATATATATGTGTGTGTGTGTAGGTATGTATATATATATATATTTAAGACTAGATAAGGTAAGTTAAGAAAAGAACAGAAAAGAACAGAAAATGGACATACAGACAGATAGATACGCATACAGATAGATATATTATAGTTATGAGTATTCATGCGCCACAAAACGTGATTGACACCCAAGTAGCTTGAATCTGCTAGAACAAAAGGGTTGGACTGGACTGTAGCTGGGACTTGAGCCTTGGGGGACCATGGAAGAGCCATGATCCCAACCAGCGGTAGCCTCTTTGGAGAGTCACTGATAGTGTCGGAGTGTCACCAGAAAAGGTCACTGAGCTGTGCCAGTTCCTGCAGATTTGTCCTTTAAAAACCAGTCACTGCTGAGATTGTCATCGGATCATGGGGCGCCTTCACCTACTGGTCCTACAAGGCGGGGGGGGCCCCGGGGGGTCGATCACAGAGGATCCCAGTGAGTCATCCAGGATTCTAAGCTGGACGACACATGGAGATTTTCCACAAGATTATAGTACTATACCAGAGGCTAGTGGCTATGATTAGAACCCAATATGCCAAACACATGCTGGGTGCGCCTTCAATGTTGTGTGCCGTACTTTTCTTCTCCCTGGGCTGATTTTTTCTCACCTAGCTGATAAGATGGGTCCAGGCCACCAAACAGACCCAGCCCCATTTCAGGGAGACCTGCGATCAGCATGTGTGATATTGTGTGATGGCTTGCCGACTTATTTGATGACGTGATGGGTCAAAACCTAGGATTTTACCATATAATTGGGAAATGAACATCCATATCTAGCAGTGAGTTTGGGGTTCACTGGCATTCATACCATCCCATACCCATTGGTTGATAAAGTGAAGGGTTTCCTCGAGCTGTGCCTATCAGATCCCGGGTGAATTCATTGCCAGATGCCAGGAATCTGCCAGACAGAAGGAGGAGGATGAGAAGCGAAAACTGAAGAAAGCTTTGAAGCCCCTTGTTGAATATTGGGAAGGTATATTGGGATTAAATGTGGGGAATATATCTCGGGAATATATATATATGTGGGATACACTAGACATTATCAACCCAGCAGTCAAGCCACAAGTCCCAATAGATTGCAAAGCCAAGAGTTTTTTCAGATAGGGCAGCTGGGGTTGACCTGCACTGGTACAGATCAACCCTTGCGGAGAAATCATGATTTTGAACAGTTGCACTTGCACTGAATTTGGCAACCGTTCTTTGTGAGATGGCTGATTATCTCCATTGTTGCTGGACAATGACAATGTCTCAACTGTATCACCATATATCACCATATATCACCATTTTTGCCGGTTCTTTCCAGTTTTTCAAAGGTCATTGTCTCAGTCATTGTCCCCCCAAAAATGGGTCGCGGCAAGGTTGGATCCAAACTGGAGCAAGCAGGCGGTGGCGCAGCGAGCTGGGGCCCCAACTGGGCCCCAACTGGGGGTTGATCCCAGGGTCAACTGGCGAGCGTCATGGTAAGAAATGTAAGAAAAAAAACAACAACCTACCAGGTTCATCCCAACTGAGCTGCGCATCCTAAGATAATGAAGCTGGGATGTGATGAAGAAAAGATCCCAGAAAAGTTAAGCGAGTCGTGGCCAAATCTTCCATTGATGGTTGTGTTTTGGGGGATTATAGTCACCATTTGCAAGTGCGGAATTCATCATGAATTGGATGTAAACATGTTGCAATTCAAATAAATGCCAATAAGTATGATTGGACAATTTTGTGCTAACCTCCAGATAGCAACAGTACAACCATTTATCAACTATGTTCGAGAATTTTGGTGGGCCAGGCCCTCGTAGTCGGAACTTTGACGAACCAAGGAGGAAAAGAAGCGAAAGAAACGCAAAGTCACGGCATTTCAGGAAGCCTTGAAGTTAGAGGAAGAGGCCACCGCTGACAGGTGCGGCTTGTGTCCATGGTGCATAGATGGAAATGAAGGATTGCGGATCACCTGAGGTTTTGAACAAACCTATATTCAATCATGTTCAATCCACAGCCAGGTAAACCTCGAGCTGAACCTTGCACCCTGCAGAGCTGTGAGCAAAAAGGAGACGGCCACCAGGGGACCAGAAATAAAGTCATTGTTAGATATTGTTGGTGGATGTTAGTACCACACTTTGTAGGCCAACATGAGTTAAAATGCTTGCTTTTTGGCATTAGATATATAGGCCAATTTGAGCCAATCAGCGAATCCCGGGTTTGTGGGCCAAAAATTGTATGCAGATTGTAGAGAGATATATAATAAAACACACGCAGACACACACTGCTTAGGTTGATTTGATGATGATGAGAGTAGAACTTGCCGTCGCCTGATTTCCTAAGTCACCTTCGATGGGGCACGGTTGCAAACGGTGAAATTCGGGCAATCGATTCTTGCCAAAGGACTCAAAAACAAGGTAATAGAACAGCTTGTGCAAAAGTTCGAACCAACATTGCAGGTACGTCAACCCAGCGTCCCAGGTTGATATCACTGTGACATCAGAAGCGTCTTCGTTGGCTGGAGACTTCTGATTCACACTCCAGCCCCCTGCATGTCTGAATGAAAATTCAGTTCTTATTGAGCCAATCAGCGAATCCCGGGTTTGTGGGCCAAAAATTGTATGCAGATTGTAGAGAGATATATAATAAAACACACACAGACACACACTGCTTAGGTTGATTTGATGATGATGAGAGTAGAACTTGCCGTCGCCTGATTTCCTAAGTCACCTTCGATGGGGCACGGTTGCAAACGGTGAAATTCGGGCAATCGATATATTGTCGCCACATATTGTCTTCCTTGCTTCGTTGTACGAAATTGTAAAATATCCGTATGTTATAACGGGTTTCACACACACACAAGCCCCGTAGGGCGATGACGAAATTACATGAGTAGTTGAAATGGCAAGCTCACACTGTCGCTCAAGTGACAGAATGGCAGTCCGGAAACTTCACAAAACACTAATGGAGGAGCGAAAACTCTGTGTGAAATGCGGTACTTCATGAGACTAAGCCGCCAACCATTGTTTGTGGTGAATTCAGTTCAGTGAGCGAAAGCATGTGAGGTCCGGGCTGATAACTCTCGTCAGGTTGTTATGTCGAATACTCTTATAAAGAAATTAATTAGTTAAAATGACAGACGCACATTGTCACTCAAATAACAGAATCGCTGTCCTGAAATGTTACGAGACACTAACAGAGGAGTGAAAACGCTGTCTGGATTTCGGTATTTCATAAGACTAGGCCGCCGACCATTGATCGTGGTGGATTCAATTCAGTGAACGAAGGCGTCCGAGGTCCGGGCTGATAACTCTGGTCAGGTGATTATGTCGAATATTTTTGTCGAAAAATCTTCTGTGTCAAAAATCTTGAGGCATTTAGAACTCTGAAACCTAAAGCATGATTGGGGGTAACTGAGGTCCCGACACCACTCAGAGCACTATACAATCGACGTCTAACATGGAGAAATTGTGACAGCTGTTGTGGACAAGGGCAAAAGAGATCAATTCATGTTAGTAGAACCAGTGTAGAGTAGAGGTAAATCCGATGGTCTGTAAATGGCGACAGACTTGAACCCAACATTGAAAGGTTTGAACTGATGCAGCCATGAATAAGTTACTACACACAAATCACATTCTCATGCGTATCTCTATTTGGCAAAAAACAACAGGGTGCGACAAGTTAAGAATGATTGAGTAAGCTGTTCACTCCTTTTTGTTAAGCGAATCTGAAAACATCACGCGCTTGTAAATGTGGATGGACTTGGTGGATAACAGTCAT